CTCTCTCTCTCTCTCTCTCTCTATATATATATATATATATATATATATATATAACTTATATATTTTACTTTATATTTTATGTATACACACACACACACTCTCCTTTTTTCTGTATCCCATTTATGTCAAGAAAAAAAAATAAAAATAATATAAGAACAATACCCCCCATTTTCTTCACAATACCTTTGATGAACCACTGTGGAATCTTGGGTTTCACACCTGTAATAGGGGTTGTATACTATTTAAAGAATATTCTGCAGATATTATGCCAATAATGCAATAACTTTAAGAGTAAAACTTTAACTGTGTTCCTTCTTATGGTGCATCTTTTATCAAATTTTCATTAATGCAGAAAAAATCTAAATGAATGTCTGAAATTTATGAACACTAAGTTTAAAATAAATATTCACTGCCTCATTAGATAGGTAAGCACGTGTTCTACTCAAGTCAGAAGCACCTTCCTTTTGGACAAGATTATTCTGTAGCTGTCATTCATCTTGCACTGCATTTAAACGCAATTAAAATACTGATCTGGTTCACACAATCACTGGAGCTCATGATGGCTTATTCAAGCCATGGTGCCTTTGGGCCTGAGATTGCCTATTCATGCTGTAGCCACAGCTTACCATGTCTTATGAAGCCATAGTTAACCCTGAAACAGCCTCTGCAACCTAGGTTTGGAAGATATAACAAACCACAACAAGCTCCTACTGGAAGGGGTCTGCAAAACAGTTGCCCACGTATGCCACAATGCACCATGGCTTAAATTAGCCCCAGTAGGGTCGAGTAATTTTGCAAACTGGCTAAGTGGCTCATCAACCTAGCACTGACCCAGTTTGCACCATCAAAACAGTCCATAGTGGCTTGTTTAAATTGCACCATTAGCCTAATTGCTCAGGTGCAACTTGTTGAGCCAGCTGAACCTGGGTTGTTTGCAGGCTAAAGAACTCTTAGCTAATCCACAGGCTGAGGCAAGGTTATCTGAAGATTGTTTCCCCGTCAAACAAGCCATGCTGCCTTGGTTCGGATGATATGACATGACAAGCTGATCCTGGGTGGTGCTCAGTACATGCTAGTACATGCCACCAATTTAAGCAAGCCATTGTGGCTTGATTGTGCAAACTGGCCCACTGCCTCCTCTGACCAGCAGCAGCTCACACGGACAAGACTTCCCAGGAGGTGCTGTGGGCTAAACCCCAAATTTTCTGTGTGCAAGAGGTACACTCTAAGTAGCTAAGCTACTGCCCCCTTCTTTTCCAATTGCAATGGACAGTCCAGAAACTTCATGCATAACAAAAGGGAATGCACTTTCTTACCTCTTGGTATCTCGCATATCCATTCGCGCTCTGAACTGCAGTGTAGAGGCAGGACTGTTCCGTTTGTTTTGTATGCAGCACAGTTCCTCACATTATCTTCAAAATAAGTTTTCTCTAAAAAGGCAGATGCTACCTGCCACAGACCAGAGCATTAATCTGACGTGTGACTCAAGAGACAAACGTTCACAGGTAAGAAAGGACAAGACTTGAAATAGCACTTGCTCTTCTCTGTGGGGCTTTATTATTTATGTTTACTCTAAAGGGGGCTTCTCATGCTGAAGATACTCAGATATAGATCCTGAATACAAAATATACATGTTGATCAGATATGACATGTATAAATCACTACTTTTCAGCTACACAAAAGAATCAAGTGGGAAAAGTTTACTCTCCTGATTCTCTCGTATCTAGGTACTTGCTAGATAATAACATAATATGGCCAGTTTGTGATTCATTGCTGATAGACAGCCGCTTGTCTGCAGCATTCACATTGCTAACAAGGGCCAGTATCCATAGAGTTCTTACTCTACAACCGTCCAGGAAAAGAGCTTTTGATATTAACAGCTATCAGTGCAACAAACAATTCTGAAATACGTGCCTTCATGATTGCTGTCAAAATTAAGTTTTTTTAAAAAAATACAAGCTAGCAATTACTTCCATATTACTTATTTCATTTACTCCCCCACCCCATCAGCCTCATTCTAATTTCCTTTGAGTGCTATTATTTAAAGTCTCATTCCTTAAGACATACGATGTGCCAAGGCAATGGTGTTATCAACTTTCAAAATGTGTTTGATGGTACAGACTGAATCTTGTTTTGAATGGGCTGGAAGTTTATCATTGGTTACATAGGTTAGTGTGCGGGAAGAATGGATTCTACAACTTATTTTGTTTTCTACTTCACTAAGCTTGTTGTAAGGTAAAGAATAAAAAATATTTACGGAGGTCCCATCAGACCATTCCCATGATCCTCCAGATAATGGGTTCCTTTTGTTAAGTCCAATCCAGAATTGTCTTTCTTCATCACTGTGATTAAAAAACATAAAACCCCAATATGTAGATGAAAAGACTAGCCACCATTTTAATTTTAGCATAAATCAAATGAGATATATGCTTGGAGCTGTGCTGAAATGACTACTGATATGTTTGATTTGTTTTTGAACTTTTCTGAAAGGTTGATAAATGAGACACATAAGCATGCATAAAAGCTTCATTAGTTCTAAGGGAATGTTGAAGTTTTGACCAAGGAAGTTTGCGGGAAGGACAGCTTGCACTTAACACTTTCCCTTCCAGATACTTTTATACTCAAAATTGCAACTCAAGCAGACTTTCCTTCCAAAAAGTTCCAGATGCATGCTTACAAAAACAAACTGTAGATAATCATGGCAAAAGTCTTGAATTGCACCCCAAGGCTACAATTCTAAACCCACTTTCTAGGGAGTAAGGCCCATTGCATTATAGTGCAAGAAATTTACTGTGGTGTAATCTTTTAAACAGGCCAAAGACAAACCCACTGTCTATGATACATGCAAATAATTTTAATAAAATTATACCATACCACAGAAATATCCTATTATTCCTAGATGGAACTCCATGTTCAACAGACAGACAGACAGACAGCTTTCCACCTTCTACCTTTTCTGAATGGAATCTGAACAAAAGCACTGTCTGGAAGAAAATTATTTTTCCTTCTGAAAAATCCTCTCAATTTATTTGTTAGACTTACTGATGAAACATTGTACTCAGAAGTTTGTTCAAGAAATCCTCCTCAAAGGAATGTGTGAAACTGACAAGATGTGCTCCAAAATCTTGACACAAAGTTTCTGCTTCATCCCAAGATCTTTTCATCAGAACTTTTTCACTGTGAAATACCTGTGTAATAAAATTTAAAAAAGAAGTTTGAATTCCACATTGTCAGAGCAATATGTGAAGCAATATGTGGGTGGGGAAACACGATACATACTAAAAAATGCAAGTTCCTCCCTAACACAATATATTTTGCTACTTTTCTTTTCTGTATTCTTGTCACTCCATACCTCCAACAGTTCACAGCTGAAAACAGAAGTATATTTAGAAAGCCAGTGTGGTATCAGCCATTAGAATGTTGGACTGGGAGTCACAAGACATAGAAACAGAGCAAGTCAGAAGGGGTCTTCCGGGCCATATAGTCTGATCCCCGTCTCCAGCCAGCTCCGCACATGACATGCCCACCATGTGCATGTCTAGCCTACCTGGGTTCTAGTCCTCATTTAGGTTTGAAATTGACTGGGAGACACTGCACCAGTCACTAACTGGGTGCACATGGCACAACAACCACTGAGACTTCTAAAAGATAACTCTCCTCTGGTGGAAATAATAGTGTGTGTGGTGGGGTGGGGTGAGGGGAAGTTTTACTTTGTTCTTAGTAATCTCTGTGAGTGTGTGTGTGTTGGTTTTCCTTCTTTTCTCTCCATAAGGAGCAAATTTTAGACTTTGTGTTGTACTTCTACAGACTTCAGTAAGGTGAAAAGTACCCTCTCTTTAAAGGGGCGCAGAGTTTGGCAAGTAGCTTTCAAAGCTCAGAGTCCCTTTAAAAGGGGATTTTAAAAGAGGGATGCAGGAGGTTTAGACTGGACAGACACTAGAGGTATGTCCCGCTCCAAATCCAGCCCATTCCTACTCAGATCTCCCATTTAACCTCTGATCTCCCTGAGCTTTGACCACTACTTATCAAACTCTGTTCCCCTTTAAAAGTTGTGTGGGTGGACGGGGGAACAGTTTTAGTTTCAGCTGAGCTTGGAGAGGCTCAGAACAAAGTCCAAAATTTGCCTCCCCATGGACAATAAAGGGTGAAAGCTAAAAAAGATTAGGATCTTGTTGAGAACAGGATGTAAATCCTGAAAAACACCCTCTTCTCTTGCAAAAGTCCCTCACGGCTTGCTTTTCTCCAGAAAAGCTCAGCTTTTGCTTTATCCTCTATGAACCTACCTATGGACTTTTACCCTAGCCTACCTTGCAGGGTTGAGCATAAAAGGAGCAGAGGATGCTCACCCTCATCTGAGCAGGACAGGGAGATCTGTATTGGAACAAACTCAGAGGTGTTTTGCAGTCAAAATCCACCCGGTATCCATTGGAAATAAGGTGGGATTAAAATAGAACAAAGAAATAATACATAAATGATATAACATTTCAGTGCTTGTGCTGGCAAAGAGTACACAGCTTACTGAATGTTGTATTCATTTACTCTGCCTGCACTACTTTTATTTAAAAGCTGAGATGTTGATTGTTAAATTGAAGATGTACCAGAGGGAGTGGAAACATAATTGACAATATCCTATTCTATCACATTTCAAATTATAAATCTCAGCATCTGAAGTGTGTGCATTGGCAGACGGCACACTACATGGTGCCTTTGTTATTTATACTCGTGTATTGACATGTGCGTGCAGCAAGAAAAGGGATACATCCACCCCCACCCATGAAAATTCTAGAAACCCCAGAAAGGCAGCCTAATCCTGAACAGCAGCAACACACTAATACGATAATGGCACCCCCCAAATTTAAAAGAGGCACAAAATTGGAATATTGATTTAATAGGAAAATTATAATTGTCCCAAGTAAGAAGGTTCAGTTGAAATGTATGTCACTCCCTGGCTTTTATTATGTCATGGTTCAGTATAATAGGCATGGATTCCTAAATCTATTTCAGCTGAATTCTCAGTGAAATCTTGGCTCCCTTTTCACCTTGTAGCAGCTGAGCAGATTATGGTCTGATTCCCATCCAGGCATGCAAGAATGAAAAGGTTTTTGAAAGTGTCGTTCTTCATTAGGCTCATTTTCTCCATGGAAATGGGCTTCTTGCTTGCACAATGCCATAGCTTTGAATCTCGAACAGTTTTTCACTTCCCAAACACCAAGGGGCTTCTCCTGTCGCATAACAACACACCCTCCAGAATGTCCTACAACAGAGGGCAGGAGTTGGAGAAAGCATTTAGTAGGAAGCACAGTGGTTCTTGTTCCAAATGTGCAACCAGTTTTCTTTAGGGCAGGACAGACAAGGAGGCAAGCGGGCGGGCAGGCAGGCAGGCAGGCGGGCAGGCAGGAGGAAACAGTCTTCAGAAGTCATGCTCTACCCAGCGGTTTGTTCTTCCCATTTTCACTCCAACTGTGATCTTTGCAAAGTAGTACCTTTTATAAATACAATTGAAGTCCGGGCCCAATTCAAGGTGTTGGTAATGACCTATAAAGCCCTAAACGGCTTGGGTCCTGGTTACCTGAAGGAGCGCTTACATCCATATTTGCCCAGTCGCCCCCTGAGATCGGCGGGAGAGGCCCTTCTCCGGGAGCCCTCCGTGAGAGAAATTAGGAGGGTGGCTACTCGGAGAAGGGCTTTCTCAGCGGTGGCGCCTAAGTTATGGAATGCGCTCCCCAGAGAGGTCCGCCTGGCGCCGTCGTTATTTGTTTTTCGGCACCAGGCTAAGACCTTTTTATTTAAGCAACATTTTAAATGCTAAATATAATTGAATTTTATCTGGCCAGGGCGGCTTATTTTATAATGTGTGTTTTAATTAAGATTATTTTATATGGATATTTTAACTTACTGTTTTATCTATGTTGTAAGCCGCCCCGAGGCTTCGGCGAATGGGGCGGCATAAAAATGTTTTAATAAATAAATAAAAAATGTTGAAATTCCTTTTGGTAACCTTAATTCAGCTCTGTCTAAGAAATAAAAAAATGGCCTTTACCGAAACAAATATATATATATATATATTAAACTGGGTAGGAACCTTTAGTACTACTACAGAAAATGGTTTTGTCTGAATTTCAGTCTGTATGCTTGTATTTGTCTGAATTTTGTCTATATTCCAAGGCTGCAATCCTGGTCGTGCTTACCTGAGAGCGAGTCCCACGGAACACACCAGGATTTTCCTTTCAATAAGCATACATATGGTGTGTGTTTATAGGACTGTACAGGGCAATACTGAGTTCAAACTAATGGAGCCAGTAGTTCCCCTGCAGTGTCTATGCTGCAAAGCAGAACTGACAGAGGCATCACTAGAAATAGTTTTTATCCTAAAAAATCTGTAGACTCAGAAATTAAAATAGCTCTCTTCCTGGCCATTATCCAAGTGGCGTGCCCTTGACCTCTCCAGTGCTTTTCCCTCTCCCAACTTACTTGCTATAGAGTTGCTCACAGTTTCCACAGGATTCAACTAGGATCTCTGAAAATTTGCTGTAGAACTACTTCTCTTGGATACAGCCAAGAAGTGCAACGAAACACAATATATCCCTACTGCAAAAATAGCTTATTCAAAGCATTAATGTACTGAGAAATTATGTATCTCTGGGGAAGGACATCAGAATCAAGTAACTGTACCTGTGAAATCTGTTAGTGGTTCTCTTGTACTCAACCAGTAGAGGTCACTGTTGAAGGACAAGAGAAATTCATTTCCTTATATATCTAGCAATTGTATTGTTCCAGTGCACATAAAATGAGTAAGCAAATGAATTTACAAAGTGAAGCAACCTGAGAAATATCATGCATTGCCTAATCGAAGCCAAATGTCAAGAGAAAGCTGTTCATGCCCCTACCTTGAGTAAATAAATGTAACCTTGGGGGGAAGTGCAAAAGTTTACCAACACCAAGGAGCATTCAGAAGCTTGCTAGGCAAGCAAGTATCCGCAAGGTAGCTGTGATACTGAGACAGGCTTGCTCACTGTCCCTGCAGGACTGCTATTCAGGAAGTTGCTAACTGTAAGAGTGGAATGCAGAGATCCAGGTTGCCATCCTAAACACTCTTGCTACAGAATGTTGTTGTTGCTGTTGTTGTTAGTCGCGAAGTCGTGTCCGACCCATCACAACCCCATGGACAACATTTCTCCAGGCCTTCTTGTCCTCCACCATCCCCTGGAGTCCACAGAAGAAGCACCTCCAAACGCAGGGGGATTGATCTCTTTGGAATGCATGTAGGATAGCTCTGTCACTGTGAGATGCGGTAAAATATGGCGAGATCCGTTCCCAACAGCTATTTTATCTAATGAAGGGAAGTGATGGCAGGGCTGTTCTGAAGTTGGCTGGGGTTTTGTTTTGTTTTTTGCGGGGGATGCACTTTTGGGGAATGGGGGAGTGAGAAAACTGTTCTTTCTCCACTCACTTCTTTCTTAACTTGCAGAATAAAATTGTCAAATTGTTGTCCTTTCAAGCCATGGCTGTGATTAGGAAAGACTGGGTTCTTAAGGTGTTTCAATGGCACATTTAATGTGTTAGTCCTGCTCAAATTAAGACTGACAGCTCAAACACGGATACATAGAAAGTGAGGAGATGTGGCGGATCTCGCTAAAGAATAAAGGAAGAACAAGAGCCAGGAACAAGATGCAACTCACTGGGCTGATGCTTCCCCCAGTTGCTGTAGGCCTCAAGGGGCTGGGGTCCCTCTTCAGTTAGCCAAGCGTATTCTCCTGCATTGTTCAGATCTTGTAGCGCTATCCAAAAATAGGGGTTATCTGTTTTCACTGTGTGGTGAATCAAACTGTTGAGAAAACTTTGTTCAAACCTTTAAAAGGATTACAAATAAAGAAAGGGCATTAGATTCCTTACATGACAGTTAGGAAGCATTTCTTCTGTATCCTGTTGAGCAATACAGAGAACACACATGTGAAAAAAATCACTCTGTGGAAGCTGGATGAAATCCGCAGGAACAACAATTAAGCATGGAGCAATCTAATCTTAGGCTACATTGAATACCACAGTGGTGCAAGCAGTACTCTATGTGGCTGAAGCTAAAGCAGGATTCCTGCTGCGTCCAGCCATCCTGCTAGAGAAAAATCATCCATCCGATTCGTTACGACAGCAACAATTCTGTACAAATGTGACAGGCTTTTTTCTGTGTCAGGGAATGCAACCGCGAAGCCTGGCCTATGGTGGTTTGCCCATGCGCTGCCTTTCTTATTCTAATTGCTGCAAGGGCACCTCACACCATGGAACATGACTTGTTCTGAGCAATAAGGCTCTGATGACTTGGGTGTTATATACCACAAGCATCCATCTTAGCCTGTGCGTAGGAACACTTTCTGCCAAATAACCCAGTGACACGCACACACTTCAGCTGCAAAGGTGGACGATCCAGCACATTCAAAGGCCCACTCACGCAGGCTCATGCAGTAAGGCAGAAGACAGACTGGAAAGTCAGTTTTTCATGTTAATTTTGTCTCATTTTGAACTCCAGGGTTGGCATACCTTTCCAGCCTGAGTTGGGCGTGTTTGAGGACTGGACAGGCTTGGGATTCCATAAATCCACTTCCCATTTTCCCACCATTACCCTTTCACCTCTTCCGACATTGGAGGTCCACCATCAAGGATGTGAGGGTTGCAGAAGCTCCCATGGAAGCTGGGGGGGAGTGTCCAAGCTATCCTTCCAGGAGTGGGCATCACCACCTCTGCCCACCCTCCAAACAAAGGCCAAACATTCCAAGGAAACCCTGTGCTCCCACAGACTACTGGATTGCAGTCTACAGGACTTAAGGTGTTCTCTGATTTCTATCCAGCATGGCTGCTTTATTACTCATATAATATTTTAATATTAAATGTTGCTTTAAAGACCTGTTTTGTTGGTCACTCTGAAGGCTCTTTTCAGGGACAAATCATGCCAAAAATCAACTTATTATAATCTTTAAGTGAAACAAATGTATTGCAAAACAAAAAAGCCTTTAAGAAGCAACATTATATTTTATTTATTACATTATAATTGACCAATTTTGCAATTTATTGCTTTTATGAGTATGTTACAAGCTCCAGGTCCTTGAAGAAACAATAGAATATTTATGTATTTTTAAAAGATACACAAGTAGAGCTTTAACAAATAAAACCTTATCTATTAAATGTGGGTTGCCCAGAGCACTTTTCTTAAAGATCAATCCTACAGTCCCCTCAGACAATGCATATGGGTCACAAGATTGTTCTTTTATCATTAATATTTATTAATGTTAGTACATATTTATTATTGTTTATTATTAAATATTATTAATATTTATTAACATTAATAGATATTGTAATATTGTTTTTCTAAAAGCAAAATGCAGCCCTACCCAAATGGTATTGGTATTGAGATATTTTGGATGACGACTCCCAGCATTCCTAGCAGCCATGCTGGCTGTGGGTGATGGGAACTGAAGTCCAAAGCACTGAGAGAGCACCACTTTGGATAGGGCTGGCCCAGAGAGTGGAGACTAATCATAATTCTGGAGGGAGCACATTCCACAATCCATGGCTAATGCTCCTTGATAGGTCTGGTGTCAGTAAAGCTGTCAATCCGCAGCTGAGTGGAGATATTTCCTAGGCTTCAACTGTGAAGTCCTTCATGAGTCGAAGAAAGCCCAAGTGGACTTACCCTCAGGTAACAGAGGAAGCCACAGCCCTGAGTTTGCAAGGGCTGAGCAGGACATTTTGGAGGGCACCCAGTCATGGGGTCCCATCTGTTGGAGACAGCTAGACAGCACATTAGCAATGACAAAACGTGCTTAGGCCTGGAGCCTTTGATACCAATGTCAAATGAAGACTCATGCACAGTGAATCAAGACAAAACCCAACAAACTCGGCGCTCTTAGTACACATGCAACTCAAACACAGCAGGGGGAAAAGATGTTTGTTTATTCAATTAATTTCTATACCACCCCACAGGAAAAGCTCTCCTTATCGTTTCCATATGTCAAAAAGTAGTCATGAAAACAGAAATTTTGTTTTTTAAGTGTGCTGTTGTGTTTTTTAGATTTGTACACTATTGCTGGCTTTTACTTTAGCTTTATTCTCCTTTCAATGATTTTATGTTATGTTTTCTCATATTTTATTTTATTGTTTTAATTCTTCTAAACCGTCCATTTATTTATTACATTGCTGTTCCACCTAGTGGCTTGGCTAGCAAATAAATACAAACAAATCAATAAAAGAAAGCAACATTTTAACAGTTATAGCTACATGTGAAGCGAATGTGGATATATTTATCACGATGTTTATCAAGCACTTCTTGTAATTAAGATTCTGTAAATCAATACTAAAAGAATTAAAACTTCAAAACCTTTACATGTGAGAATAAATTACAAGCTGCTGAACATTCCAGTTCCACTAGTAGGTAACTGATTAATTCTATCCAGGATGTACTGAACTAATAAATTCAATATTTGACTTCAGTTAGTCATTGATCTAATAAGATAACTGAATGTTCCATTTTCTTCTGCACTACCACAAGAGGCATATTTGGGGATTTTAAAATAAAAAATAGCTACCTGTTCATTGATGTTGTAAGCGAGGGACAGTAATAGCCACTGGATGCATGTCCAAAGCTTCGAGGGACTACGTCGACACTGTAACAATATCCACCATATTTTTCCCATCCCTTCAAAAATAAACATTAGTTACAGTTATGTATAGCATATATGCATCTATACATGGTTGCACATAGTACTTGGATATCACTCAAATAAGTGCAGAAAGGATGTAGGAAAAATGTTTCCAAATGGTTCTCGTTAGGATATTCAAATGCAAAGACCAGACTACTCACTAATAAAGATGTTATTATGGAAAGGCAGATATAAAAGTAAGCAACATATAGTCATTGCCACAAATTTACCACATTGCAAGATTAAGTATTTGTTCCTTCTGCAGCCAGAAACCGTGTATCTGTGAATCAGATTAAGATCAGTGGTGGACACTCTTCCATGGTGTAGGTTGAAAGCACTGGATAGGATCAGATCCGCATGCAGCAAGGTTCTGCACCTACTGTATTTTGCTTATTTTTGTTATCCGCTATTATTTCCTGCACCCATTAGGGTGTTCATTGAATTCTGAAGATGCTAAAAATAAAGGCTCCCTATTCGGTACAGTAGCAACAGCACATCAAACTGGACATAACTGGGTGATCAAGAGAGCTGGGAGAGACTTTCCTTCCAGCTGCTCTAGCTCTCTAACCCTAAGCCCAGCCCTCATCCTGTTCTGTCTCAGTGAAGCAAAGTAAGAGCTGAAAGAAGGAGCAACCTCCATTCCACCATCTAGGCTGGGTGAGAGCAAGGAACGATCCTTGCCTTCCTGCAACATCTGGCCCTCTTAAGGGGTGGAGAGAGTAATTTCCCCAAGCATAGTGCAAGTCGCAGGAGTACAGATTCTGTTCACTTACAGCGCATGTCAATAGCCACTAACCATGCAACTACAACTTATATATATGCAAGAAACCAGTCCAGTGATCGGGAACCAGAAATTTAACAAGAGAATTAAGAGCGGCTCAACAGTATACTGTTATGCACATTCACTCAGAAATAAGACTGCTTCAGGAAAGCATGCATAGCTTGCAGGTTCAGCTGGATTGTGAGCACACTTTTGTCTCTTGAGGGAGACTATCCAGATGGCTTGCAAATGGAAGTATCAACTGTATTCCCTTTAAAAATGTCTATTACTGGTCATAGCTAATTTGAAACAGTTAATTTGTAAATATTTCAAGAAATATGACTGTTTAAATAACTTTATCTTGTAAGACTGATATTTCAGCATGCTTCTATGAGGTATGTTTTGACTTCATTTACTAAAATGTCCTATAACCCTTAGAGGTCCAAAACAAAAAAAAGATAAGCATAGTTAACTGTTCCATGCTGAAATGTTGCTGGAGTCCAGTGAATTAGACTAGGCTTTGTGTAGCTAATACAGTGCAGTAGGGCACCAAACTCACACTGCAGTAACAAGAAGGATGCTAATGAATTAAGTACTGATTTCTGAACATTTTGAAACTGATGCCATCTTAAGTTAAAGAAATTAGAACTTGCATCTGGCTGAATTTTGATCAGATCTTGGGTCAATAGGAAACTGGAATACTGCAGGTCCAGAATGGAAAGCAAAAGTCAACAAGGATTGTCAAAATAACACAACAGTTGCCTAATAATTCTGGTCCCTCTCTCTAATCAGTCAATTCTACAGATAAAGGCCATTTTAATTTAAGTATGTAATATAACTGAAATTGTCCAAATTTATTATAGGTCTTTATGAAATATTCTGTACTAGTTTAATATAGCCAAACTTCCATCTGAAATTAAAACACTTAAATTAAATACACCTTTGAAAACCTACCTCCTTCCAGCAATTTTACAGCTATCTTAGTCTTTCCCTTTCCTTTCTAAAGTTCAGACTAGGTTGCCCATTTCTCCTGTATCTTTGACAGGCTATTATCGGTATTGCTGGTGTACCTGGCTACCAGTACCAAAAATGCAGCCATTCTGAGATTCCCACAAGTGCAGACACATCCCAGTATCTTCTTTAAGTGGGAAATACTAAATACACAGGGGTTTGATTTCCACTGATTCCACTGAATGACTCCCTGTTAGAATAGGAAATGACAAATCCGTATGAAGCGTGTGGTGCTTCAAAGGATTACAGATTGTGTAATCACTGAGGCTTACTTCCATGTGTAGCACACTATGCAAAATTGTGCTGGGAAATCACATACATAGCCCCATGGACTATTATTTTAAGTTGTAGTAAGTTGGCACCGCTTGTTTTTTGACTCTTGCTTCTCTCAGCAGGCTTATGATGAACTTCAAGGAAAACTTCCTAAAGAGGATCAAACTGCAAATATTGCGTTGCATTTAGACTTAGTGTCTTAAAGTAGACCCTACGGTTTAAAGAGGATCCAGTGAAATGAATGGGATAAAATAGTTCTATATATTTTAATGAGTACATTTTAAGCTTAAGTAAGTCTGATGCTTACCCGTTTTCTATATGCATGGGGGAAAAATCAAGTCAAAAATTATTTACTACAAAAATTATGTAGTAAACCTTTACTACACATAGTGGCATTATGGCTTGGGGTTTATGATCTTTATTGTCTTCAGTCATGACATTATATTAAGAGTACAAGTCACACTAAAATGATCAATAAAGTTTTGTGTTTGTGGGATTATATTTTTCACACTGCACTTGGCTCAGAAAAAAATAAACAAGTGTTTTTCTGCCAGTGTGATCTTAGAACTGTTAGAACTTCTGGCCACAACGGGACTGTTTTGGAATAGGATCCAATACCATCCACTAGTTAGTAGAATATCAACAACCTCAAATATGCTGATGATACCACTCTAATGGCAGAAAGTGAAGAGGAACTAAAGACCCTCTTGATGCAGGTGAAGGAGGAGAACGGAAAAGTTGGCTTGAAACTCAACATTAAGAAAACTTAGATCATGGCATCCGGCCCTATCACATCCTGGCAAATAGATGGGGAAGAAATGGAGGTAGTGACAGATTTTGTTTTCCTGGGCTCCAAGATCATCGCAGCCAAGAAATTAAAAGACGTTTACTCCTTGGGAGGAGAGCTGTGGCAAATCTAGACAGCATACTAAAAAGCAGAGACATCACCCTGCCAACAAAAGTGCATATAGTCAAGGCTATGGTTTTCCCAGTTGCAATGTATGGCTGTGAAAGTTGGACCAGAAGGAAGGCTGAGTACTGAAGAATTGAGACCTTTGAATTGTGGTGCTGGAGGAGACTCCTGCAAGTCCCTTGGACTACAAGGTGATCAAACCAGTCAATCTTAAAGAAGATCAACTCTGACTGCTCTTTAGAAGGCCAGATAGTGAAGATGAAACTCAAATACTCTGGCCACCTAATGAGAAGGAAGGACTCCCTGGAGAAGAGCCTAATGCTGGGAACAATAGATGGCAAAAGAAGGGGACGGCAGAGGATGAGATGGCTAGATGGAGTCACTGAAGGAATCGGCGTGAGCCTAAGCGGACTCCAGGAGATGGTGGAGGACAGGAAGGCCTGGAGGAATGTTGTCCATGGGGTCACAATGGGTCGGACATGACTTTGTGACTAACAATAACAAGTTAGTAGAAAGTCAAGTCTAACGCCCCTGACTCTTCACTGCTTGAAATGCTTCCCACTTCTCTGAAGCTATTGCTCTGCTTAAAGGCATATGTGCTTCTAGATATGTGGAGAATGGGGACTGCTGAGATATTTGCTGCTAGCTTACTATGCAGCTGAACCTAAAGGAAAGCAAAGGATATCTCTGATAACCTCACCATCCTCTTGGAACTGAGAAGATGTGTGGAACTGGGAAGATACTGGCATTCAGGTATATATCCTGAATATACTAGTCAGAGTGTACCATTCTATTGTAAAGTCCTGTACAAGCACATTTTATAAACATATCAGCTCGAGTATGCATGTCTGCCCCACCAAAAATTAGCAAAGCACATGTTTCTTATATAAAGCTGCCCTGAGATTATATACACAATCTTCCCTTCCTTGGCTCAGCAGTTCACCCAAGGCAAAGAGAAAAGGAAGAGTCCTGGTGGAAACAGGAAGAAAGAAAGCAGTTCTTTCAGAAAGAACTGAAAGCAAGAATGAGCCTCCCCTACCCCTACTTGTTTGCTGTCCTCTTCCTTGCCATGCAGAGAAAATTGGGTCCATCCTTTTGGCAAGAGAAGACACTGAGAACTTCTTAGCTGATGGCCTTCCTAAACTTGGAGATGGCACTCACTAAAGGTTTAGACAATAAAAGCCCAGGACCAAAATGGATCAAAATACTGGATTAGTCTATTGATTTGAATCCAGTTTGTTCTTAAAAGTTGATCTATCATACATTTCTGAGCTGTTTAACGGGTAGTTATAATTCTGGCTATTCCAGGTGACAATGTGGGGGACATATGGTGCTTCGAGGGACAAGGCTGCTACCAGTTAGAAGGTATTATACACCTGATCTGTCTCCTTCTCCTTGGTGAATCTTGTACATTAAGTACACAGACAGAAGAAGAGGTATAAAAGCACAAGAGGCCAGTCCGTGGAAATGCCACTACCTGCCCCTCTGTCTCTCCCCCGCACCTCCATAATATCATGGGTGAGGTAGGGAGATGGCACTATAAAAGCCTCATCTGGAAGCAGCCACCGCTGCTGCAAGAGAAATGGCTGGGTGAATCATCACTCAGCTTGCCATTTCTCAGATCAATTCAAATGACTAATTTCTTTGCTTGGATGTGGATGCACTAAACTGAATTAATTGGCTACAGTCTGGGATACTAGCATAAAATGCTGACATTTCTCATGATGCTACAGAAGTACTGTGACCTTAGCATAACCCAAATGTTGTCAGCTTCATAAGCAACATTTCTCCTCTTCTTTCTCATCAAGCATCTGACAGCTCCATATTACCATTTCAAAAGCTGGCTTAGGGAAAGTGCTTAGATAATCACTGCTTTACTGTTTAGACAGCTAGCTTAAGGAATTTGACCTCAGCAGCGAAACATTTGCCCTCTGTTAGCAAGTTATAGATTAGGAGGGTAGCCCTTCCACCACCCACGGTTGTTGAATTAGTAATAAAATCATAGGACACATGGCCAACGGAGCAATATGTGCTTTGCTGCAATGTCTGAGAAAGATATGGAATCATCATTTTGTCAGAAATCAGAAGGATTTAAATATACAGATTAGTAAGGTGGGAGAGCTTTTCCTGAAGCCAAGAAGGCATGAAGACACCCAGGTGCTATAAGTGAAGAGAGCAGCAAGCCTCTCATTGCCACCAATGAAAACAAAAGGGAGAGAAACTCGAATATGGCTCTGAAACCAAACATTAAGCGAAACCCCAAGCTATCTGTGCATTCAGGCACCAGAAGAACTCACAGGCTGGTGTGGCAGCATCCACCTGAACGCGATAAACTGCAGTATAAGAGGCATTTTCAATAAGGCAACATCACTCCAGAAACTCTGAGGTTCCCTCGTATACTGTAAATGGCTTTTCCATGCAGTAGAACATCAAGGTAAGGTCTGCATCATCATTGTACAGATGCAGCTGCCCCCTTAGTGCACCAAGGCAGAAAGCCCTCTGGCTGGTGTTCTGAACTCAACTACGTCTTATAATAAATACATACAATGCAGCTTAGCCTCCCTCCCTTTTTTTCTTGCCAGTATATGGAGCCTGATCCATGCATGAGTAGGGAGGTCTAAAGTTTTCTTCCTTGCTGCTGCTTCCTTAAATTTGCCCTCCCCTTGCAGAGGCTAAAAAGGGGGAAAGTCCATGGAGGCCTCTTTTTCCCTTCTCCAGTCCCTGCAAGGAAGGTGGGGTGGGCAAATTTAAGAAATCAAACAACGGGGCAGGTTTAAATGTCCTGAACTCACAAAGGCTGGCTCCAGTCTGGTCTAGGGGCTCAAGTATGTATTTGTAAGAAATGTAATAATAGTGAGTAAAAACACTACTTATTTGACAGATCACACAGTTTAGACCCCCAGGACCAGCAATACTAATATACAGGTGAGAAACATCAGGTCCCAGTCTACTATTTTATTCAGCAATAATCCTTTGGCGGGCTACTTCTGTCCTGCCAAGCACTTTTAAAGCATCGATTCTCATTAATTTTAAGAGGCCTTATCTCATTAAATCCCATGAATGTTTAGGCTTGGCCTTTGAACAATACTGCTATTTTTTTTCCAAATCAAGAAGGAAGCAAGCAAACAAGTCAGCAGTTAATTATTGTTACTCTTCAACCATGAATGGAATGTTAGTGTAAGTGTACAAAGAATTTAGATTCAGCATGTGTTCTACCATGACATTTAAATATATATAAAAGCCAGGGGCAAAATCAAGCACTGTGTAACAGTTGCTATTTGTACAGATGGTTTATGAAAGTGCTCTGTCTTTTGATGTAGAAAGATATAGGGACTTCAATCAAACCTGCTGGCAAAACAAGCAGGAGTTCTAGGAAAAGATTTACCGACTAAATCCACAGCTTCTCAAGTGTCCCAACATGTTCACAGAGTTTCCACACGAGGGTCTTTCTGAATCCCCTTCTATAAAGATGCAGAGGCGCCCTTTCTGTTAAAATGAATTCATGATCTATAAAGGAGAAATCCAGGTTCTAGTCCTCTTGTGGCTCTGAAGGTTTCAGGGTGACCTCAGGTCAGTCACAGAGTCTCAGTCTAATGTACCTCACCATGCTTTTGAAGGCAATGGCTGGGTTCACACAACACAATAAGCTATGGTGGCTTATAGGGGTGGCTTGTCATGTTGTCTGAACTCAGCCAGAGTTGCTTGTGCATGGTGAAAAACCACGGAGCTGGGTTTTGCCTATGCACAAGCCACCATGCCTATATAAGCTGCCTTGGGTTCCTTGCAAGAGAAAAATGGATGAGAGATAAATGTGTTGGCAATGAATAATAAACAACATTAATTTTGTAACAAACCCCTGGTTGTGGAACATGCAGACATCTATAGCAGCAAAACTTGTTTCAGGAACGAGCGGCTGAGCAGGTTCCAGCAGCAGCACTTATGGCACACTGGCACATGGCACGCTTATGGTCATGTGCAACGGGAATCTCTTTGCTGGCAGGAGGGTCATTGATTCAGGGGAGGCCTATGTCACTGGAAAGGGGAAGGAGCCAGTTTTCAGTGATTGCTTCTGCCCAGTGCTTTCCACTTTCCAAGATCTGCTTCAGAGGACTGGGGATCCCCTCTGCAACAATGTGAGAAGGTTAGGGTTAAGCAGCAGGAGGGAGGGTGACTCCCCCAAAATTGTCTCCCTTCCCAGTCCATTAATGGATCCTTTATTGGATCAAATAAAATTCCACTGGTGGAAGGTCACTCATTGGATCCAACCATCACCTGTGATTAAATACCATTATCTTAGTGGGGTTTAAATTTGAGTGAACACCCATAGGATTAGGCTGTGAATATGGGAAAGGTGCAACATTATTAATATGCTTGAACTCTATCCAGATATATTTAAAATAAAGCATGATTGTTTATTTAAGATTTACCTCCGGACAGCCTGATGCCACTTCAGAAGTTAGATTCCCAACAATTCCTTCTCTTTTACAAATATAAAAATATCTGTCTGAGCAACTTTTAACTTTCCAGCGACCCTCCTGGTTGAAAACAAACAAAAACAATTAGCCTAAAGATCTCATCATTTCAGAAGAGCCCATATGACCATGTAAAGGAAACGGCTTGCTTTTCAGATTAGCACAGATTTTTAGACACTCTACAGAATCTTCCATTGTTTAGTGCACGTGTAACCTCTACTTCATTAACTAAATTCTCTTTAGATATGACCTGAGGCTGTATTTTTATATGCATTAAATTGAAGTTCCGTTATTACCAACTTAAACGTGGGGATGTGATTCTGAAGTCATGGTATATTTGATCCTACATTGCCTTTTGCCTCTGCTGTGACGTCACAGAGCATTTACCGACATTTTAACTAGTCTAGCTGCATTTTTGCTCAGAGTCTGAGCAGGGGGGCTGGGGCTTGTCACTTATGGCCAAACGACAGGAAAGAATGAGATGGGTGAGAAGAAGACAGCCTGCATTTCTGACTCCCAGACCCATTTTCTGCCTGAAGGACAGGAGCTCTGTCAAAGGCAGAAATGATGCTCCTGCAGAAAAGCTAAGTGGAGCTTATGAAGACCTGAGAAATGGTGGGGTTGCAGGAGCAAGGAAATGAGAAACCGATGGCCCTGCAGAACTGGTGAGTTATGTGCTATTAATAGGCCTGGACTGGACGGGAAAGATTACCATGGAGGAGTAGTGCTCCATTTTAAATTTTTGCACATGCCATGTATGTTTCTTAAGTGGCACCACGTAAATAGAGCCCATAGAATGTTCTGCTTCTGAGGCGTTGCAAGTAATGCAACAGCACACACACACATGCCAAAAAACCCACAGACTGATCCTAGGCAGAAACAGTCACAAAATATCTGTTAGAAGATAAAGAAAGAGGACATACACTCTGCTGAGCTGAAACACAAAGCTGGCTTTTTCTCGGATGGACATTTGGCTCTTGTTTATGCCAGTAAGTGACGGTTACTGGAGACCCATCAGACCATGAAAATTCAAGTGGGGTCTTATGACTGCTCAGTCCGATCCAAGTTTCTGTCACATTTTCTGTAGTATATAATTAAATGCATTTTCAGGTAATTTGGACAAACCAGGACATTTTTGACTAAAAGCAAGCTGTTTTGGAAGTCCTCCTTTTAATTCAGCCTTGGCAATTCCTTTGCATCCTAGGGAGAAACATAATTAGGGGTGTGCCATTTCTTCTCTGCTCTGCTCATTACATTCCTCTTTTTAATGGCAAGATCTTACATGACCTCTGGATGGTATGTGGATTTCTTTCCACACCAACTTAGCCAAAATGGCAGCTGCCTTGTCTTGCCTAATGGCCCTTCACAGTGCTTTTTTTGTAAAAAAAAAAAAAAAAGGTGCCGGAACTCACGTCTTGCGGTCACACTTTTACACAATGGTCGCTGCTGGCAGTAAGCACTCAGCGCATGACCACATGACCGATCCCAAGCCGAGCAGCGCCCCGAGCCAAGCAGCACCCTCACAATCAGCGTCAACAATCAGCGCTGACACACAAGCAGCCCGCAGGCACTATGTTAATGATTTTTGCTGCTGATCTGCTACTCCCAACAGGGCAATTCACAATCACTTGAAAAAATCCGTCCAAAAAAGGTGCTGGAATGCCGTTCTGGTGCATTCTATGACAAAAAAAGCCCTGGCCCTTCATATCCTGGCCTCAGCCAGTGCCCCCCACTCTCCCCGGGTCTTCCTTCCATCTCTGTACAGCCTGGTGGCACATCGCCTGTGAGGCTGGGGCAGCTCCCAAGTTCTAGAGAGAATGACATTCTTGGCCTTGCCATAAGGTTATCCACAGTGGCTGCTCCGAAATACACATAGCCTCTTCCTCAAGGCACGGCTCTTTATTAACTAATTGTGAGAACTCACCATGTTTAAGGAGGTTAATTAGCATCTCTGTATCAGCCAAAGAGGTTATGCTAATGAGCATGCTATTATCATCCTGGCAGCTGAGTGAAGATTCATTCCAGTTCTTCTCCTCTTTATGTAGTTTGTAGCAGTAGCGATTATGTGGATACCAACCAGGATCACAGTCAGTGGGATAAAATTTCCAGGGGTCTTTTCAGTTAAAACGAAAATTAACAAGGGTGCATTAGTAATATCAATAATGTCCTATCAAGCAGATTTATTCATGTCCCATGCCTGCATGCATACACATATTCCCCCCATGCCCCACACGTACAATCACTGGAAGGCCATTGTGAGAAACTAGTGATGGAGAGCTGATGCATCATCCCCAGCCAGAATGATTCCTACAAGGTTGCTTATTTTTCATCAACATGCCCCCTGACCACCTATGGTCGGTTCTAGGCCTGTTTGACCCATGATAGGGTATCATGTCATCTGAAGCCAGATACGAACATATTTGCACAATTTTCTGTGGCAACCCCTCCCCCAACAATGCCTATTAAATGTTTTTGAGGCTATGACTTATTTTTTTTACATTTTCAACTGAAAAGTGGTAATGATCAGAGTGGGAAGAAGAAGACAAGGCAGATTCTTCTGCAAAGGACACTGGGAAACTGGCAGGAAGTTCAAGGGCAAGGTGGGGGAGAACAAGCCATGGTGAGCTTGACCATCTTTCGGCACACCATGGGCTGCTCTGCAAACAATCCATGCTGTGTAGCTTTCCCACCGGGTGGCTTATTTATTTAGGATATTTTTATCCCATCCTATACAGCAGTTGTCTCAGGACAGTTTACAATTTAATATAAATAAACAATAAACACAACAGTCCACAACTGTAATAACAAGATAAAATATGACTGAGGATATTATTAATAAAACCAGATTAAAATTATTTAAGCTTTAAAATACTGGGTAAATTAAATGCTTAGCTTGTCATGCAACTGAACCTAATCATTATTAGCTCTTTTCATTTTTTCTACTTCTTTAAACAAAGGTGAAGAATACATCGATCAAGAAAAATTGTACAGGGAAAGCCATAAACAGACCCTTTAATTACTAGGGCTGGAACCTGGACTGCTCCATTCAATTTTTTTCAGAGGCTACCTGTCCCCTCCCCCATTATCCACAAATACTTGCTGAAAAAGAGATACGGGGCTCTGATTGTATGTGTTCCATCTGATCCCCCGGATTTTGCCCAGACGTGTTTTTCCTTCCTGCTGCTTCCCCTTCCCCCAGCATCTTTGTGCCTACAGTTTGTTCCTGACATTATATGCCCTCCTTTCCCTTGTTCATACACCCACTTTTACAAATAGGGCTGTCCTTAGGACCAAAGGTCTATTAAGAAGGCACACACGCCGACTTTAAAGTGTATGCATCGAAGCACTAGTGTACACTTGCGTATACTTATTTCTGTCCTGTGGGGTCTAAGTCCTGGTTTTTTTCTGTATTGAACACTAGCCCTGCAATAGACATGTGTCGATGCAGAGAGGGAGGAGGGAGGAAGACTCAGACTTAACTAAGCAAGAGCTCCGGGCAAGCAATGATTCGAGTTCCACTTAGTTGAGTCAAATATAAAAGAAAAGACAACAGACAAGTCTGCTGGTCTCCACTAATCACAGCAGAGGGTTGAAATGTTTCTCTTACATTGAAGAAAACTGGTGGATTTCACAGGAGTTTGAAAATATATAGAAGCCTGTTTAAAATTCTGGCCATAGACTATAATGATATGATGCAAAAAAATCAAACTAATTTCTCATCTTAAAAAAGAAAAGATCGTGCTGTTTGCCCTCAAAAGTAGCAAAGGAGGTGTTGCATTGCCTGCAAAGCTTCCAGGCAGAGCATCTTCAAAAGAGGGCTCCTAGCACTGCAAAAGAAGAGGCAGATGATCCATCTTGTCACTGAGAATGATCCTGTGGCCCTTAGACAGTCCCTGTGGAGTTCTGGGATAGTCCAGCTTCTCAGCTCAAAGGTCAAAGACAGTGCACTGACCCCAGAGCTGAGAATCAGAGAAAAATTCCATCTATCTCTGCCCCACCAGAAGAACCACACCAGCGGTTGGGAATATGACCCTGAACAGGAAGAAGGGGAGCATTTTGAGGGGCAGGCAGGGAGGAGACTAGGTAGCCAAGCTAGAAGCCAACCTAAAACTGTTCCTACTTTCCCCGCTTCCCTTGAGAGAAGATGACCAGCTAGCAAAAATGCAGATGGGAGATGCAGGGAGCCTCTGAGTTCAGAGACTCCAACTTCCCTCAAAAGGATAGCACCCTTAATGGGTTTTCTGCAGTAGAGAAAAAGTAGTAGAAATCACAAAAGGGTATGAGTAAAACACATTGGTTTGTATCCAGATTTAATCACACTTTGAGTAGACCCACTGAAATCAATGGAACATCAAGTTAGTCGTGAATAATATACAGTAGAAGTGACAAATAGATTTAAGGAATTAGATCTGATAGACAGAATGTCTGAAGAACTATGGATGGAGGTTTACAACATTGTACAAGAGGCAGCAACTAAAACCATCCCAAAGAAAAAGAAATGCAAGAAAGCAAACTGGCTGTCTGAGGAAGCTTTACAAATAGCTGAGGAAAGAAGGGAAGAGAAAGGCAAGGGAGAAAGATACACCCAATTGAATGCAGAATTCCAGAGAATAGCTAGAAGAGATAAGAATGCCTTCTTAAATGAACAGTGCAAGGAACTAGAAGAAAACAATAGAATAGGGAGGACCAGAGATCTCTTCAAGAAAATTGGAGATATGAAGGGAATGTTTCATGCAAAGATAGGCATGATAAAGGACCAAAACGGCAGGGACCTAACAGAGGCAGAAGAGATTAAGAAGAGGTGGTGAGATTACACAGAAGAACCATACAAGAAAGAGCTTAATGTCCCTGATAACCACGATGGGGTGGTCACTGAACTCAAGCCAGACATCCTGGAATGTGAAGCCAAATGGGTCTTAGGAAGTCTGAGCAACAACAAAGCTAGTGGAGGTGACAGTATTCCAGCTGAGCTAGTCAAAATCTTAAAAGACGATGCAGTAAAAGTGCTACGCTCAATATGCCAGCAAATTTGGAAAACTCAATAGTGGCCACAGGATTGGAAAAGGTCAGTTTACATTCTGATCCCAAAGAACAGCAATGCCAAAGAATGTTCAAACTACCGCACCATTGCACTCATTTCACATGCTAGCAAAGTGATGCTCAAAATCCTACAAACTAGGCTCCAGCAGTATGTGGATTGAGAACTACCAGAAGTACGAGCAGGATTTCGAAGAGGGAGAGGAACTAGAGATCAAATTGCCAACATATGCTGGATCAGGAAGAAAGCTAGGGAATTCCAGAAAAACATCTACTTCTGCTTCATTGACTATGCTAAAGCCTTTGATTGTGTGGATCGCAACAAATTGCGGCAAGTTCTTAAAGAGATGGGAGTACCAGACCATCTTATTTGTCTCTTGAGAAACCTGAATGCGGGTCAAGAAGCAACTGTGAGAACTGGACACGGAACCACTGATTGGTTCAAAATTGAGAAAGGAATTCGGTAAGGCTGTATACTGTCGCCCTGCTTATTTAACTTATATGCAGAGCACATCATGAGAAAGGCGGGAGTAGATGAATCACCAGTTGGAATTAAGATTGCTGGGAGAAATATCAACAACCTCAGATATGCAGATGATACCACTCTCATGGCAGAAAGTAAAGAGGAACTAAAGAGCCTGTTGATGTGGTAGAAGGTAGAGAGTGCAAAATTTGGCTTGAAACTCAACATTAAGAAAACTAAGATAATGGCATCCTGTCCTCTCACTTCCTGGCAAATAGATGGAGAAGAAATGGAGGTAGTGACAGATTTTATTTTCCTGGGCTCCAAGATCACTGCAGATGGGAACTGCAGCCAAGAAATTAAAAGACGCTTGCCCCTGGGGAGGAAAGCTATGGCAAATCTAGACAGCATACTGAAAAGCAGAGATATTACCCTGCCAACAAAAGTGCATATAGTCAAGGCTATGATTTTCCCAGTTGCAATGTATGGCTGTGAAAGCTGGACCATAAGGAAGGCTGAGCACCGAAGAATTAAGACCTTTGAATTGTGGTGCTGGAGGAGACTCCTGCGAGTCCCTTGGACCGCAAGGTGATCAAACCAGTCAATCTTAAAGAAGATCAACTCTGACTGCTCTTTAGAAGGCCAGATAGTGAAGATGAAACTCAAATACTTTGGCCACCTAATGAGAAGGAAGGACTCCCTGGAGAAGAGCCTAATGCTGGGAACAATAGATGGCAAAAGAAGAAGGGGACGGCAGAGGATGAGGTGGCTAGATGGAGTCAGTGAAGCAGTTGATATGAGTTTAAGTGGACTCTGGGGGATGGTGGAGGACAGGAAGGCCTGGAGGAATGTTGTCCATGGGGTCGCGATGGGTCAGTTGGACACGACTTCCGAGACTAACAACAACAAAAAGCTAATTCCCATTGGTTTCAATGGGTCTTCTCCAAGGATGACTAAATCTGGATCCAAGCCAGTGTCAGCTGGGCCACCCATGGATTTCCACGCATGGAGCAGGGCAATGGCACAATAACAGCCTCATCTGGGAGCACTAATAAGAACAAACTGAGTCTGAACTAAGCCCTGTACTTATAACTACCCTTCTCCCACATCCAGTTAGCAACTTCCACATGGCCTGGAAATCCCAATATTCGACCCAAGGTACATAAGGATGCAACATACATATCTCCCCCCCTTTCAAAATGGAAATCCCCACAGATCCAATTACCCTGCTGGGTAGAGACTCACCCAATGCTTCATGACGAGTAGCATTTAAATACTTCTTGCACACATACGGTAATCTAGATTCACATGAGTAACTTTGCCAGTCATGCTGCACTTCTGGGTTAAATGCTTTACAGTGATGTTGGCCAAGAGAATGGTCAGCCGGATCTGCAAAGGGGTTCGGGAAGCCACACATGAATTCCCAAAGAATTGCTAGGCAATCTCTTTTATCTCTCTAGCTAAACTCCAGTTCCTACCCTTCTGTCCCACCAGCTGAGTTGGTCTCTTGGCCCATTCAGTCCAGCAGTATCCACTCGGGCTGGCCACAGCTTTCCAGCCATTTAGGCAGGAGATTTTCCTGCCCTACCTGGAGATGGTGAGAAACAAACCAGGAACCTTCTGCAGGCAAAGCACATGAGGCTCCTAAGCTTTATCGATGCTATCTACAAATGCCAATTGTTTCCAGTCAACCGTACTGGAAAAAATACTATTCTTATTAGGGTACAGGGAGTCACATCACCTACACAGACTTCCCTTGTGCACCAGAGCATTTCCGTGCCCCTTCCTCTCCTGCACTACAGATCCCGTCTGCAAAACTTCCCCAACCCGTAGGTTTTGTGGGTGTGCAGAGCGCTGCAGTGGGCAGCAAGGCAGGCAAATGGTTCGACTTCACCCATACAATGATAAATGATATTTCAGCATTAAAATTGGAATTGTGCACCTCAAGGAAATCCAGCAATGTCAAAGTCTGCCTTTTTGACCCTCTCACAATGCATGTATATTTCTGAGAGTTCAGCACAAACACCACATGCTGACTTAGCTATTCGGCAACTCTGAATGATTCATAACATGCCACTGTGTGAAATACAGACAGCAATGAGCTGGTCTGGATGCTTTCAGGGCTAGCGAGAAGGCTCCTCTTTAGCATGAGATAAGATATGCTGATATACCATTTCGTGTAATATAAGGATTTCCATTCACGGCAGAAAGCTTTCAGATATGAGTTCCATTTAGGATAACATGGCAAATTAGTGGCACCAGTCCCATGAGCTTTCTGTCCCAGGGAAAGCAGCCAGCCTTTCCAGACCAAGTGTATTAACGATTTGTTGGACAACTATGCTGTTGACCACACTGGCTGGGGATGATGGGAGTTTAGTCTGACTCATCTGGAGGGCACCTTGAAAATGGTGGGCTCTTGAAAGCTCCACCTTTTTGAGGAACACCCTGAAATATCTTATGTAAAGTCACCCCCTTTGAAAATATCTTGGAAACATGCCTATCTAATCTGAAAGTAGATTACCTTCTTCCCCTCTTCTCTGTGTCACACACACACACACACGGTCTCATGAAAGCATAGAGAATGTACAGCGGCACCTGCAGAAACTCAGATCCAGAGAACAGAAGACTCAGGATCAAGTCTTCCCGCGGTCTAATATTGCTAGCTTTATGTCCAGCCTGCTCATGTTTTAATTTTAGGTGTGAAAGTGATAGGACTGCAGTGCCGTAACACATGCAAGGGAAAGGTGTGGCACCTGCTCTCCAGTTCACCAATGCCAACGGTGCTCCATCCGACCACTGCCAGCCAGCAGATTCGTCCAACTGGTTGAGGCCTGTCCATAGAAGGGCCCGGTTTGTGTTCAGCTGCTCTGCAATATAAATGTTGCAGACATTCACCTTTGACATTCGAGAACCAGTTCAAAGCAACCCCTTCAATAAAAGGGTTTGGTTCTCAAATGGCATTCTGCCCACTTCTGAAGGAAGGATGAGCCTCTGCAGGGGGCGGTAGTTAAAGACTACCTTGCTAAATCTCCAGCAGGTGGAAGCACCTGCAATCTGGGACTGCCAGAAGGCTCCGGCATCGCTCCTCTTCCTACTGTGCTGGATATGGAACAGAGTAATAGAAAAGAACCACCAGTGGCTACAGAATCAGAACTCTAATTTGGGCTGAAATACTAATAGTAATTATTACTTTTACTTGCAGGATTTCTTAGATTTCTTTTTTCAAAGGAGATTCAAGGTAACACACAACAAAATTATTACTTTTCTTTCATCACAAACTCCATGTCTTCCTGAACATGGATGGATACCCTGCATATAGCTGTGCATAAACTTTTTACAAATTCAGCCCCCCTTAATCTGGGTTTTAATCCAGTACTGTCATTCTACAGATGACAGCAGCTTGTTTAGGATTGGTAATTTCACTTGGTAATTACCAATGGGATTGGTAATTTCGCTTTCTCCTGCAGGCCCTCTAAATTTGCTCTGGAGAGCTAGACCCTCCTTCCCCAGCAAATTTCAGGGTAGCCACAGACAGCTTCTGTAGAGAAGAGAGAGCTGGAAAAAGGAGTCATTGTACTGAATTGCAACCCAACACTGGTGCTAGGTTGGAATGAGGTCTCAAAGGAAGGATAAGCAGGGAAGTAGAAATACTGGTTGAAAAAGTCTAAGAAAAGTAAATACATTGGTTTGTGGTGCATCTATTATAAACTAGGGTTCAGCCGTCCCATTTATGTATAACACTAAACCACAGTTTAGTACTATGCGACAGAACAGGAGCAATCCTTTGGATCGCATATTCCTCACTCATCTCTCTTCCAGCAGAGCCTACAGAAGAGATTGGTAGCATCTGCTTCTTGTTTCAAATTAACTGTGGTTTGTCAATAAGTACAAAAGGGCAAATCATGGTTAGTTTAAATCAGGGGTCCTCAAACTACGGCCTGCAGGCCAGATACGACCCACCAAGGTCATTTACCCAGCCCACCTCAGAGCTTTTGGACTCATTCAGAGAAAATGATCTCCGAATGAGTCTGAAAAGCTCTGAGCTGGTACAGGCGTACTTTGAACTCTTTCAGTTTTGGAGACTAGCAGAGAGCCAGCATATGTGCCAAACTGTGATAGCTCCCTTCAACTGCGCGTGTGCTGGCTCTCTCTGCTGGCTCTGGCTAGCCCCTGCTGCTGTGCTGGTCTTGCCAGCGTGAATTGCGCACACGGCGGCTTTTCCTCCTATTGCATGCATGTGTTGGCTCTGAATACAGAAGAGAGGAGTGATAATACAGAAGAGAGGAGCAGGAATACAGGAGCAGGAACACAGAAGGGAGGAGGGTGGTGGGAAGAGAGAGAGAGAGAGAGACATTAAGAAAAGATAGAAGATATGTGTATATATATATACACACAATACTTATTAATATTTCTGTGTCAGATTTATTTTATTTCCTAAATATAACTAACTGTGGTATTTCAGCATAAGGAGCAGAGTGCAGCCCCTCACAGGTCACTGATGGTAATTCTCTGTGTGATTACGTCAGCTGAGAGAGCAGAGTGCATGTGTGGAGGTTCCCTGTGTTCTGTCATAACTATCTGCACTCTGGCAGTCCTGAGATACGTACAACATGGCAGTGACAGGAACCATTTGCGTCCAGTAGCCATACACTGCCTCATCCACCAACAAGCGCTGTGTTGTAAATCACTGAAGTGGGACTCTGTCATGAAATCTTGAGTTAACTTCATTAGAGCTCATGCACTAAACCACAGACAGTTTCAGGAATTTCTGTCTGAGCTAAATGTTGCCTATGAAGATAATTCTGTACCACACAGAAGTCCATTGGCTGAGTCGAGGGAGGGTTTTGAAACGTTTTTATGACTTACTTCCATTTCTGCTTTTCTGCTTTCAAAAAACAAAGAAGTACCAGAGCTCAAAGATGCAGAATGGAAATGGCACCTTGCCTTTCTGACAGATGTAATAGAGCTACTCAACAGTTTCAGTGTGCAACTTCAAGGAAAGGGAAAGCTCCTCAGTGATATGCATTTACATGTGAAAGCATCTGAAGTAAAATTAGACCTCCTCATTAAACAAGTGAAGGAGGAAAACTTCTGCCCACAACTCAAAACCTGTTGGCGGAAAAACCAGCAGTTGCATTCCCAAACAAAACATGTGTAGGTTCACTGGAAATGTTGCAAAAGGAGTTTCAAATTAGATTTAAAGAACTTCATTTCCATGAACAGGACATACAGCTTTTCTGGAACCCATTTTCTGTTGACATTGAAATTTTTGATCTGATTTACCAAATGGAACTGGCCGAACTGCAGAATCGTGACTCTCTGAAAGATGCATTCAAGTCAAGCAGCCTTACTAATGTCTATGCATCTCTCCCCTCTGAGACATATCGTAATCTCAGGAACCATGCATCTAAATGGCAACCATCTTCAGAAGCACCTATGTCCGTGAACAGACTTTTTCCCAAATGAAACATCTGAAATCTCCAACCAGATCCAGACTAACTGAAGCACACCTGCATCACTTGTTACGACTGGCAGTGACAAATATGGAACCAGACATTGGCCACCTCATTAGCCAAAAGCAGGCCCGTACTTCCCATTGAAATACTAATAAGTTTATGTTGATTAAACTTGTTCTTCATTTTAAATCTTGTTTTGTTTTTTCCTGTTTTTTTGCACTACAAACAAGATATGTGCAGTGTGCGTCGGAATTCATTCATATTTTTTTCATACTAGAGTCCGGCCCCACACCAGTCTGAGGGACAGTGAACTGGTCCCTTGTTTAAAAAGTCTGAGGATCCCTGGTTTAAATCATAGTTTGTCGAAACAAGCTAGGATTAATCTGGATCAAACTAAACCAGAGTTCTGCATCCAGAGAGAGGCAAAATCCAGTCACTTGAAAAGAATAAATGGATGCCTCTACTCTCCTGTTTATGGCTATGGCGAACGAGAGGACAGGCAGGAAGGTGGGAGTGCTAAAGTATGGTTGACCCCTTTGTGCAAACTGGACCCCAAGTCTTGCACAAACTGACTGAATGAGAATAACCGGAGTGATGCTGCAATTAATGCATCCTAAAACAAACGAATACTGGAGGTTCGACTTAACCACGAGGCTCCAGACGTACCACTTAGACCAACAATAAACTTCTGTTCTGACACATCTGTGATGCTGAGCAGGTCTGCTCCTTGTCCCTGACATGCCGCACGTGCCTCGTTCCAAGAGAGAACAGAAAGAAGACTGAACTGGTAACAAGTCTGAGTGTCTGTGTTCATCTTCCAAAATATGTCACAGCCAGTCTCTGTGTGGGAAACAATGGTGAAAAGCAGCATGAAATTATGAAGCAATTAAGGAGGATAACAGTCTAACATATAGCCTAATTAACACCAAATGAAGAAAAGGAAATACTATGATGATAGCATTACAAATTAACCTTCAGCATTTTGTATTAGGAAATGGAACGTACTCTGAAAAACAACAAGTGCTCATGCGTTGATCATGCAATAAGTAACACAAGTTTAATAGAAAGAACAAAGTGTTCTGAAGCAATGAACTGGGTACAGATATATACTTTCCCCCCCTTCTCTTCTCAATTTGTCTAATTATTAGTCTGATATCTACAGATCAGCAGACAAGTGAGTACAGCAAATAACGATGCATATTAACAAAATTGTTTCCTAAGTTTTTATGCACTGTGACAACTACAGCGATGATCATTGTAGACCCTGAGATTAGCAAGTAATAGTGACAATTTCAGAAATCTGACAATTTGAGAAAACTGCCAAAATGGCAAGGAACCAGGATGAAAGAGGATCCTGAAAGAGGATGGCAGTTTCCCCAAGAAATTTCAAGATTTTCCAAAAAAAAAAAAACCTGAAAATGATTTTCAGGTAGGATTTCTGCTATTTTACTTATTACAAAAACACATTATTGTAATTAGATTCATTTTAAAGGAGAATTGGGAATTCCCTTTCAAAAGTCTAATTTCTCTTACTATTTTAAATATTATCAGTAATCAATAAGAATGCACTATTAAGCTAGGAAAACTAACGACTGAATAACGTTAAAATGAGCAGCAGAACTTAATTATTAAAGCACAGCACCCTAAAACACTCAAATATGGACTGGAAAAAGAAAGTATTTATGACTTTCATAAAGGCCAACAAAGAAGAAGTTGGATGTATTTCCCTGGAAAGGGAAATACATAGAAATGTTTTCTATGCTAACATTTAGTAGTTAGCATAGAAAACACTCTTTCTCTGATACCCACCAACCTAACAACATTCACTAGAAGATAAACATTCACTGGGTCTCAGATCCTGATCTCAAGTTGCAACAGACTAGGTCTGGATTTAGATAGCCCTAATTTGAATGTCAGGGTGTAAAATATTTGACATTAAGCTGCTAATAAAGTTTGTCCTAATTGTGGATTGCAGGGACAATTTAAAAAAAAACAAATTTTGCCAGTGTCCTCTGCTTCTCTCTCTTTAGTAGGAGACTTTCAAAGTGACCATACCAGATTACACATATAAAAAAAAACAATTGCACGCAGTCCAGCCAAAGCTCAGATTTGCAGAATCCATTGACCTCAGCAGCAGAAAACTAAGTGCATGTGTTCCCCAGTGAACAGGATTTGCAACAGCTGGCTTGTGTGTTCATTTCTACGGATTACAGTAGTTTAACAACATTAGCACAACAAGGGAGATGGACTTCTAGCATCATTTTACATGTTTCTTAAGATACAATTGTAGAATATGTAAACTTTGACTCTGTTCCAGACTGGATCTCATTCTTCCCTTTACAGTAGGACATTCTTATTGTAAAATGGTCAACAAACTAATGGCAATTTAAGGAAAGGAAAGGGTAAAGCTGAAGTTCACAGGATGCAAGACTTGCTCATCTTGGCTAAAAGCTTCTCAGTTCCTAAAGACCACCGCCACATACCAGAGCTTGGACAAAGTCCCCATTTTTCATCTCGCTCGTACTGGCTTGTTGTGGCACACCAGGGATAGCCATCTTCTCTGGAATCTCTGATACAGTCATAGTGCCATTTGTTGTTGAATTTAAACGGAAAAACACAAGGCAAACCATGAGAATTTCCCAACAGAGTATATGTTTCTGAAGGAAGTAAAACACTGCAAATAAGTCACTTGGAAAGAAAATAGAGGACGATATATAACCCTCAAATATGTATTCTTGATCTGATATTACTACAATTCTATGATTTCCAGTACTAAGCAGTAAGCGCTAACACAGAAGGATATTCCTTTGAAATCAGTGCAACTTACATCAAGTAAATGTTTCAGGATTGTGATGTAATGTCATCAATGAACATTTTTTCCATATTCAGACTATTCGTTATTACAGTTATTTTTGGTTTCAGATTATTATATTATAAATACAACTATATAATAAAATATTCAGTTATAAACATTGCTGTTTAAAAACTTTATCCATTTATCAACCATTTATCATTTTAACTGTTGACATCATTCCAGTTCCAACATAAGCATTTATGTCGTATCTGTTCCGAACAGAAACATTACCAAATATAAGTACAGTAATTCCATCTGTATGTTTTCAATATATCATCCAACAGAATTGTTAAAGATTAAAAAAAAAAACTCCTCTCCCTTTACTCTTGTGCCAGGATGTCACATACCCACTTTTGTAAGTTTACTCTAATTCAATCCATTTATTTTAACTTTTATATTCTTTGCATTGTTCCCACATCAACTTTATTCTTCTACCCATTCATCTCCTCTGACCAAACTTTTAGCATGATTTATGTCATGACAGTAGCAACTTAAATCTTCCTGCATGTAAATTTCAGAACATTACAGAAAAAATGTAGACATGCTTCCTTGCAAGCCAGCGATTAGTGTGCTGAGTCATCTGGAATTTTGACTTGCATCCAGATGCAAATACTCCCAAGGGCTGCATTCTACAGAGAAACAGGGCTGATGCCACAAGTGGGTGGCAATGAGGGAATGGCCAAAATACCAAGACTAACAGCCCAGGCGGTGCAGTGCCTCCAGCCGATTGAATGAAAAGTCACATATCGGGGCCTTCTAGCCATTTCCGGCTTCCCAGCAGCTGACGATCAGGTGTGCTTGCATACTCTTATCTCTGCACCATATTTTCCATCAGGATACTGAACCTGCTTCAGTTGGACGGACAAATTCCATTTTGAAGAAACCCTTGAGTGGGGGGTTGAGTCACACAGTTAGGAAATTATGAAGCCGTCCTGGCCAGACTCAACAGACGTAGTCAAATGTAATGCTACTTTATATCAAAAACAGAAAGCATGTTATGTGAACTGCTGGATGCACATGTTCCCCTTCTCTCATATTCTTCCACGAGACCTGGAATATGCCAACCTTTGGTCTCGCTTGCCATTGTGTGCCCACCAGGAATTGTGACTGAAAAATTCTAGCAGGGGTTCTTCTTGTCTTGTACAGCAACCAGCCGGAATTTCTTTTCAAACACAAAACACCTGGTTTGCAATGCACTTAATGACAGGACTGGAACCTCAAACTGAATTCTGGTTTGTTGCTCCTCCTGCTCACACAGGAGAAGAGGGAAGAGTAGGATCACGAAAGAAGTGTCTGAGCCCAAGACCTTGCATGGGCTTCTTCCCGGTTGCAGGTACATGTGAACATGGCCAGTGTCTCTCAGGTATGGATAGTCTATCTGTAGATTAATCTGTAGATTAAAATATATAATCTGGCCAGGGAAACTTCTTCTTCCTTCTCTATTCTCCTCCTATATTCTTTATTCACTTATTTTATACTGTTAATTTTAACTTTATATGATTATGTGGGTATCCCAGCATATTCTTTGTATTTATGTAATTGGAGGTAATTTATTACATTCTACTGTACTTCAATGTATTTTATTGTGTTGTAAGCCGCCCCGAGGCTTCGGCAAGTGGCGGCATAGAAATGCTGTAATAATAATAATAATAATAATAATAATAATAATAATAATATGGCACTATAGGTTTGTACAAGCTACTCTAGGCCCTGGATGCCTGTGCTGATGTGCATGGCCAGACAGCCATGCTATCGGTGCAGAGCATTTATGGATTTGACTGTACATGTTGATACTAATAAGATATTAAAATAATGGTTAAGTTCCTATGGTTAACCAGGAGTGAGAAAAGCAATACCAATTTCAACCGAAGAGTCACCATTCTTTAACCATGTTTGAAAAGTTTCCCTTGCAAATATGGTGGCTTTTTGGTTAATAATTTTTGCTCAGATGGCTATAAATAAGGGAATCTATTTACAAACTGAGATTGCTTCTAAAGGAAATAAAATTTAATTCCTCACTGTAACAACCTTAGACCTGTGATGATCAAAATATGCACCCTTATCAAACCATGCAATCATCTACAGTACCAAAAGGCAGCTGTTTAAATATTTGCTAAATAATGCCGAAGGAACGTGTGCACACACACAATACTGATGGAATAACAGACAGGAAATGAGTATTTATTTTACCTTGAAATGCTTGTTCACAAAGATCTCCACCATGTGACATGAACTGTATCCATCCATCGCTGGAATTTCTTTTTGCCACAACAAACTTTCCACTTTCAACAGCTACTTTGTATTGTGATTCACCAATCAACTCCATTCCATGGCAGCTCCACCACAGTGAATGTTGAACCGAATCGCACTCAGCCATGGTTAATGGCTGCTCCTGGTTCTTGATGTTCAGTGCTAGGCAAGCACTTACTCCTATGTTGAAAAGCTGTTGCTTAGAACCCCATTTCCACTGCATGTATTTGGAAGTTTGACTGCAGTCTTCAAGGATGAGCTGGGATGTGTCAGCTTTAATGCATGCATTGTGGTTGTCACTTTGGATAATAAAGATCCCCTTTTCTAGGACAAAAGATGCTGATATTCAATTCATTACCGTTATGGGATTGTTAGCACAGGGATAAACTATATTAAACACAATCACTGTACCTGATGCCAATTCTTTTATTTTAGCTTAAGAGGGGTCAGGTGCGTATGTGGGTAAACCTTCCCATCCAAGCCACAGAATAGCTACATTTGCCCCATAACCACACAGTGGGAAATGAAAACCTGCACTGGCACCAATGCACTTTTGACTGGTGCCTCTGTGTGGGGAGGCAAGTTTAAGGAGAAGCAGCCAGGTAGGAAGGTGTAACTTCCCCCCACCCGCATGCATGCTAGTCTCGATCCAGAGCCCCTGCACAGTTACAAGAAAGTTTTTTAAAAGTTAGGATCAACTATATGTCATTTAATGTGGTGTGTAATTTAGCAGCCTATTTCCATAGGATATATAGGGCAGGAAGTAGCATTAGCCCTGTATAGGGAAGATCTACTGAAATGAATGTACTTAGTCAAAACTAACTAAGTACATTCATTTCCACTCATTCAATGGATTCATTCTACACATGGCTAATATTGGATACTTCATTTAAAGGACAAGCCTTAGGCAGAAAAAGGCCTGCAACTCCCAGCATGCCACAGTGACGATTATGCCCTTAGTGCATGAATGATTTAAGCCTGTCTTTTGTCAGGCCTTCCCAGATTAGATGTATAGTTGTTTTTAATCAGAATTTTAATTATTGCTCTTGTAAACTGCCCAGAGCCTTTGGGAATGGGACAGTATATAAAAAACAAAACAAACCAACCGACCAACCAATAAATAAATAAATAAATCTATGTTCATCAGTCCTCATGCGGAGTATTACTCATTGCCCATGAACTGCCTCACCTGGATTAAATGAAAAGGTGAGACAAAGTTGAATATGACTTGCATTCTGGTGACATCAAAATCCTTATCTCAGGATGAGCTCTACTAATGGTTTCCTGTAATAGCCGTTTAACAGCAAAGGAGATGAACAGAGCCCTGCAGCACCTCCTAGAGTGATTGCCAAGGGACAGAGCAATAATTTATCCATTTGTGATATTTGTATTCTACCCAATAGCCAAATCTGTCTAAGCAGCCAGAAAATTAAAAATAATAAAACACGACAAGAACAACAATGCGAGCCTCTGTGGGGTCCTGGTTAAGGGCACAGGACTGGGACCCAGGCGATCTGAGTTCTACTCCCAGCTTAGCCATGGAGCCACCTGAGTGGCTTTGGGCCAGTCACGGCCTCTCAGCCTGACCCATCTCACAGGATGTTGTGGGGATAAGTCTGAGCGCAGCAGGAGGAGAATGATGTAAGCTACTTTGAGTTTGTTGGAAGGAGGGGGGTATCAATCTAATCAATAAATAAGAACTTTTAAAAGTTTAAAGCTGCAACATAAGATCAAAGCAAAAACCAGAAGAGGTGTAATCATTCAAAAGTACAGTAACACTTGTGTTTAAAAATAACAAAACACAAGGACTAAACTGTCTGGAAGAAGAAAGGAAAGGCCGGGCACAGAAAAGACTGCAATGCAGGTCCCAGGCAAGCATCTTTGAGGAGATGTCATAACCACCAGCTGCTTGCCGGGAGTCCTGCAGCTCTATTTCAGCCCTGAATGGATTTTGTACAAGTAAAGGGAGTTTCTATCACCTAAGCACAAAGATAAAATTTGAGATTTCTTTTCTTCTGGCTTTTCCAGACAGCACAAAAACACACACTTTCATTTCTTACAGCCCAGTACCCACTTCCCATGGAACTGAGGTGAGGGCGGCTATGTGCAGATGGGAAATAATTGCACTGGTGGGACAGACGGCTTGCTTTTCGCTGTTTGTCCAAACATGCAACAGACAGCACCAGACTCCAGAGAATGTACACACACCTTACAGAACAGAAATAAGGTTGTGAAGGACTTGGGACCAAAGGCTGTTAGGATTCCATAGCCCAATACCAGCACATTCTTTTAGGAAATGGCAAGGATTTATGACAGGGAAAGAGTTCAGGCATGTTAAGTTTGCCAGTTTAAAGTGCTATGAGGCAAACAAACATGCAGCCAGGCAGAGAGCAGTTAGTCTCAAAAATCATTATATAATTGTATTTTAAATGCAGAGGTTTTGTGTGGCAGCATTTGGGGGAATCACCTTATCTGTGCCTACTGCCATTACAAGCAGTGGATATGCATAGTTTTGGGCTGTAAAAGTGTCACCCCAAGGATGTTTAGATAGGAAATAAGTCCTACAATTAATAGCATATTGGGAGGTACAAGCATTTTTTTCTGGCTAAATGTGCATGTTTACCCAGAAAAAACTGCTCACAGCCCCCAGTATGGGTACACACACCCTTTTGTCTGGAAAATGCATAGGATTGCTCCCTAAGATTGTTCCTTATGCGATCCTCTGCCTGCTTAGAAAGACGTCCTACAACTTCCAGCCGCTGAGAGGGCTGTTTGGGGCATGCTGGGAGCTGCTGGTCTCTTTTCTTCTTAATCGCGCATAGGATCGCGCCCGAACTCTGCTTAGTACTGCGGCCTAAGTCGTTTCAGAAGCGGGCGCCATTCTGGTGATTATTACATCCACCCCCAACGGGGAGCTCCGCGGCTGGTTAACTATATAATCCGATACTAGCAGGCACGGCTTGAACTACAAAGGAAACCAGGGCAGCGCCGAGCGCGAGATGAGAGGGGAGAACAGAGAGACGCGACCTTCCACCGGCCGAGCAGCTGCGCTCTGCGGAAAGCCAAGGCGTTGCTCCGCCCTGCGGACCGACTTACTCAAAAGGTAGTGCACTTGCTCCCTCGCCAAGGCTGCGGGCTCCCCTTTCGCCAAGCTGGAGCAAACTACCAGCACGGAGCAAGCGAGGAGCTGGAGGAACTTCACCCGAGGCATTTCCGCAGGGATCCGGACGAGAAAGCCGTCTCGGAGAGTCGGCAAGAGGAGAAGAGCGGGCGCCATCTGGGAGAGGATGGGCGATCCTCGGCGCGCGGGCGGGCGGCAAAGCGAGGGCCAAAGGCCGCGGCTGCTTCTGAGGGATCGCAGGAGAAGGAAACCGGCTTGAGAAGGCGGACGGGCGCCCCTGTCCTGCTGCCGTCCCGGGAGCGAGCGGGGCGTTTCCCACCCTCCGCCCGAGGTGGGGGGATAGGCGGGAATTGAGCAATCCCACCCTGGTGTTGGGAGGGGGCGAGCGGGAAGCCCGCGGGGAAGAAGCGCCCTTTGCGCCGACGTTGCGCAGGTAGCTGGGGCCGGCGAAGGAGGGCGCGCCGAGCCCTGTTTGCTCCCGTTCTGCCGGGCTTGCATAGACGGAGAAGGGTGGTCGCCATCGCCTCCCTGCGTAGCCCTCTGCCCCGCGCTGTTTCGGGGCAAACCGGCCACGGACTTAAAACGTGTACCTAAGCAGCGATGTGATTTCGCGCAGGCTTCATCGAAGGCGCAAGAGGTTTCGCCCCTTCATGTCCCGCTCACGACTCGGAGCAGCTGCTGAAAGACCCTTTTTTTATTTTTTGCAAAAATGCAAAACAAGTATACAGAAAAAGAAAAAAAAGGGGGGGGAATACATAGTCACACAGTAGTGATCAGGGAGGCATTAAACACATTTTGAGAGAAGTATTAATAATATACACAAAAGCGCGCCCAGACGCGCACGCATATTCAAAATTCCTGCTTCACTTTACAACATAGGTCGGGATTGGCTGGCCAGGCGCCGGATCGAGTGGCGAGACGAGGCTGTGGTCGGCCGCCCGTCCTCTCGAGATGCCAACGCTGTGCGCGCTCCAGCCCGTTGCGCGGCTGAGCGAGGCGCCGGGCCGCTCCCACCCCGCAGCCGGCGTCGCTTAAGCCTCCAGGGGGGCTCGCACACCCGTGTTTGCCGGGGCCCGCCCGGGCTTGCTCGGCAGCATGCAGAGGGTGTCGTCATAAAAGGCAGTGGCGGGACCGAGCACGGTCCTCCCCAGAAACAAGCCCGCCGAGGGGCCGCGCAACTCTGCCTTGCTGTGCTCCGTGCGCCGCCTGCATTCGGCAGCGGGTTTCCCGCCGGCACGTTAAGCGAAAGCCGAGCTGAGGATGATCTTTACTCGACTGCGAGCGGGCCCGACCCGCTTTCGATCAGGGCGCCATGCTCCAGAAAAGGAGCCCGCGCCCCACAGCCTTTGTTTTTAGCGATAGCTTCGGGGCTGGGGAGTGTTTGCATCCAGAGCGGGCTCCCCCCCCTTTTGTTTTTGGGGGGCAGTTTTCGGGAGGCAAACTGCATGAGTGAGCAGGCGCGGAGTTAAATCTTCTCCTTGGGTACCAAGGCTCCGATCCGAATGGCTGTGCATACTTAAGCAAGAGCAAATAGATAACTAAAGGTTGGATTCCTTCTCTGTCAAGGGTGGGCCCATTGAATTGAATGGTGCTTAAGTTAACGGACTGTCTTCGTCAAACGCACAAAGCTGTATAAAAACAGTGAAAACGGATGTACTAAGAAAATGCCATTTGCAGAGTTTGAGCAAAAGTGGCTGATTCCAACCCTTCGCTTATCAATCCCCAGTTTGAATAAAAACATCTTACACCACTTCATGATAGCTTGAGTTTTAGTGAGAAGCCAGAGGAAAACCAGAGTCATATGCTGGTCTCTGCCCATGTGATTTTTTCAAGTGTTTCTGCAAGTAATTTTTGTTAACTTGCTCCTGGCAGTACGATAAAAGCACTGATCTGTGATGGTGCTAACTGACAAGGTATTTCTAGTAGTTGGAGGCAACTGTCCACAGTCTTTAAGAAGGCAGAGATGGCTCAGAGAAGAAATCCCAATTCTGCAATTCTGCAGGAGCAAGCCAAATCTGCTATAAGTTCACAACATGTTTATGCTATCTAATGGCACATTTCTACTGATGAAGACCACCCACTTTAATAACTTCAGATAAGCAAGTGTAAACAAGCAATTTGCTTTTCCAAACTGAATCCTGATTGTATATACAGACCAGCTAAATGTTGTTTTAACTATGGGTGGCTGTTGCCTTGCAAGGCAGGGGATACATTCCATACTTTCTAAAATCTGTTTTCTCTTTGAATTGTATTCTGCCCTTGTTAAAATAGATTACAGAGTGTCATGCAAGAAGTGGATGATGTACACAGGGCTATATTATCTGTAGTATTTTCAGTCTCATGTCTAAAAATAGTCAGCAGTCTCTTTGTTATTTCACTGACAGGTGTTGTACAGGTTTATGCAAGAATTCCCTACTGGAAGTTTGCCCTTCTTAGTTTATAAAAGCTTGCAGGGAGGGAACAACTAAATGGGCCAAAGAAGTGATTAATGGTCTTGAAGGAAGGAGTTGTCTCATGCTCTCCAAAAGGGGTGGTGGTGAGACCACTCCTGAAGAAATTCCCATTACCTTGGAAAGGCTTTGTTTTTGACTGGTAGGAAATGTTTTTTTCCCTGGGTGAGGTCAGCAACGATTCCAGGCACTCTAGGATGAGACTGATTATCTGGATTAATTTCAGTCAGGATTCAGGCCAGGCTTGGCAGGGAAACAGATTTGGTCATCCTATAAGATGACCTATATTGGGAAGGAAACGGGGATGATGACTTTCCATATCATCAGCCAGGTAATCTGCCGGAGGCAATTGTCTGAGCTGGGAGCCGGAGGTGCTGCATTGCAGTGGTTCTGTTTGTGCTTGGCTGGCTGTCTTCAGAGGGTTGAACTTGGAGAACCGACAGGGCCAAGCAATATTCCCCAACATGGTGTTCCTCAGGGGTTAATGTTATTCTCCCATGCTAGATAACATCCACGTGAGACCGCTGGGGATGGTCATCTGGAGTTTTGGAGTGCATTGTTAGCACGCTGAGGGCATGTACTGTAGCTCCCTTAATCCTTTTCATTTCATTTCAGCAGCTAAGGATGTGGATGTGCTTAACTGGTGTCTGGCTGAGACAATGGATTGGATGAGTCTAATAAAGTGAAGCCAAATCCTGGCAAAACTAGGATGCTGTCAGTCGTTGATTCTTCTCACCAGACGGTGCTCAACCTTCTCTGGAGGTAGCCCTACTCTTTCCAAAGAAGCAGGTTCATAGCTCGTGGAGCCTCTTGTAGCCGTCTTTGTCAGGTCAAGGTGCCAACTCAAGGTGCTGGATTTAACCTACGAAGCCGACATGACTTGGGACCACAGTACCTTATGGAACACCTCTGCTGATCTAAATTTACTTGGACATTATGATCTACATCCAAGGGAGGCTTAGAGGATGGCAACAAGGGCATAGCCTTTTCAGTGGTGGCCACTTGAGGAAGGAATGATTTTCTCACTGAGGTCTGCCTGGCAACAATATTGTCATCTTTGTGGTGTGGATAGTTCTACTGTCAGGCATTCAATGGTAAATCATAAGACATATCAGCTGTTCTCACAGGTCTAGTTTTTCTTTTCATTGAAATCATTTTAGCTATTTAAATTGTTCTGAATCTTATTTATTGAAATATTATTCTATAATTTATTGCTTGTGCACTTTAAGCCATATTTTATTACTGTATCTGCATTTTGTGTTTTATGATTTCCCATGAGCTGCTCAGAGAACTTTGGCTATCGAGAGGTATAGAAATGACATAATAATTGATGATAAGGTGCAGGGAGACACACAACTGCAAAATATTACACACAAGCAAGGTATTATAGGCAGTAAAGGTATTTATTTATTTATTTATTTATTTATTTATTTATTAAAACATTTCTATGCTGCCCCATTCGCCGAAGCCTCGGGGCGGCTCACAGCATAAAATTAAAATACAAAAAATAACAATAATAAGTCGCCCTGGCCAGATAAAATAAGCAACTAATATTAACAATGAAAATGACGCTTAAATAAAAAGGTCTTTGCCTGGCGCCAAAAAACAAATAACGACGGCGCCAGGCGGACCTCTCTGGGGAGTGCATTCCATAGATTGGGCGCCACCACAGAGAAAGCCCTCCTCCGAGTACTCACCCTCCTAATTTCCTTCACGGAGGGTTCCCGGAGAAGGGCCTTTCCCGCAGATCTCAAGGGGCGGGTGGGCGTATATGGATGTAAGCGCTCCTTCAGGTAACCAGGACCCAAGCTGTTTAGGGCTTTATAGGTCATCACCAACACCTTGAATTGGGCCCGGACTTCAATGGGAAGCCAGTGAAGCTGACGGAGGACTGGAGTCATGTGAACATAACGCCCAGTCCCCGTCAGCAGCCTGGCAGCTCTATTTTGAACCAATTGAAGTATCCCGACCGTCTTCAAGGGTAGCCCCATGTAGAGCGCGTTACAGAAGTCAAGGTGGGAAGTCACCAGCGCGTGTGTCACTGTCACCAGGCAGTCGTACTCCAGGTAGGGGCGCAGCTGATAAATCAGCTGAAGCTGAAGGAAAGTGCTCCTCGCCACTGCTGTCACCTGAGCTTCCAATGAAAGCTCCGGGTCGAGGAGCACTCCCAGGCTGTGGACCTTGTCCCTAAGAGGGAGTGCAACCCCATTCAGGACTAGGTTCAATTCACCCTCTCCGAAGCCCGATCCGCCAACCAACAGGAGCTCCGTCTTGTCTGGATTGAGCTTCAGTTTATTGGCCCTCATCCAGCCCATTACCTCGGCCAGGCACCGGTTCAGTACAGCCACTGCCTCACCTGGATTGGTGGAAAACGAGAGGTAGAGCTGGGTATCATCAGCGTACTGATGATTCCGCAGCCCACACCTCCTGATGACCTCTCCCAGTGGTTTCATGTAGATGTTAAACAGCAAAGGGGACAAAATGGACCCCTGTGGTACTCCATGGCATAGCTGCCATGGCGCAGAGCCATAGTCCCCCAGCACCACCTTCTGGAACCGGCCATTGAGATAGGAGCAGAACCACTGCAAAGCAGTGCCTCCGACCCCCAATCCCGCAAGCCTATCCAGAAGGATACCATGG